GTGGGCTGATCCGATGTTGACTTCAGGGAGTCTGTGAATTGATGGGTCTTTAGGGTCGGTGTTTCCTACGAGTCTTTTTTTTTTTTTTTTTTTTTGGCCTGTCTGTCCTTATAGGAAAGGTGATACAAGGCCCTAATGAAGTGGAAGAAGAAAAAGGAGGAGGAGGAGAAGGAGGAGAAGAGAAATGAATCGAAAATGATTGGCCAATCCTCTACTTGAGCCAAGCACCAGGCCCACACAAGGAGTAATCGTCTAAAACATCTATGAAAAACCCTACAGACGACTCTCCTGACAGTGGGCCAGCGTGCAAACTAAAACGATTTAAACCCACCACTGAAGCCGACATCCTAGAAGACATAAGAAAACAACCCGAAATACAATGGTTTAGCCCCCATCTTGGACAACCCAATCAAGTGGAGGAACCTCACTGAATCCATCGGCTGGTTTGGACCCAACCCACCAGACATCACTTGCCTCCAAGAGACACACTTAACCAATAGTGATGAGCATAACAAGTTGCAAGAAGCACTAACGAGGAAGCTATCTTTTGTAAAAACTGCTTTCTGGGCTAAAGCCACAGAAAACGGCTCAGCAGGAATAGCCATCCTCCTCCACCAAAAATCTGCAGCAAGCTAGGCTGCCAGCTGTCCGATGGCGAGACGTCTCCCCCTGACGTCTCCGAGAGACGGTCAGGGGGCGTTGTCCGGGATCCTGGACAACGGCTTTTTTGCCAAAAAAAAAAACGGGGGGGGGGGGGGGGTCTGCGCACCACTAGGGGACCCCCCCCAAAACATTTCAGGCTGTTCTGAGCAAAACCGATTTTTTTTTTTTTTAATTCATAAACAATGAAACAGTCTTTGGGGGGCTGTGCATGTCTGTGTGGGAGTGGCAAAGTGACTGGCCGTGACAGGACCTCCACCGGCCCTCCCCTTTTTCCTTTTTTTTTTTCCCTTTGGTATCCATCACCATCCGTCCCTCCATCACTATCCGTCCCTTCCTCACCATCCGTCCCTCCCTCACCATCCGTCCCTCCATCCATATCCGTTTGTCCCTCCATATTCATTTGTCCCTCCATATCCGTTCGTCCGTCTGGCCATCCCTCCATCCATCCATCTTTGATTTGATTGATTGATTGATTGATCGATTGGTCGATTGGTCGAGGAGGAGTCCGCGGAGGAGGCTGCGGCGATGGAGGAGGAGGAGGAGGAGGGGGAGGATGCAGCAATGGAGGAGGAGGAAGAGGAGGCCGAGGTGATGGAGGAGAAAGAGGAGCTGAAATACCGACGAGGACGAGGACAAGTCCGCCACGATGGAGGACGAGGAAGAGGAGGAGGAGGAGGAAGAAGAGGAGGAGGAGGAGGAGGAGGAGGAGGCTATTGGGGAGGAGGAGGAGATGCCGAGGAGGAGGCCGGCGCAATGGAGGAGGAGGCAGTGGCGATTGGGGAGGAAGAGGAGATGCCGAGGGGGAGGCCGACACAATGGAGGAGGACGAGGAGGAGGCTGCGGTGATTGGGGAAGAGGAGGAGAGGCCAGGGAAAAGGCCGACGCAATGGAGGAGGAGGAGGAGGAGGAGGAGAGGCCGAGGAGGAGGCCGACGCAATGGAGGAGGAGGAGGAGGAGGCTGCGGCGATTGGGGAGGAGGAGGAGAGGCCGAGGAGAAGGCTGACGCAATGGAGGAGGAGGAGGCAGAGGAGGCCGACGCGATGGGGGAGGAGGAGGAGGAGGAGGCTGCGGCGATTGGGGAGAAGGAGTAGGAGGTTGACGCGATGAAGGAGGAGGAGGAGGAGGCCACGGCGATTGGGGAGGAGGAGGAGGGGGAAGACGAGGCCGACGTAATGGAATACGGGGAGGAGGAAGAAGAAGAGGAGGAGGAGAAGGCTGCCACGGTGATTGATCAATCAATCGATTGATTGATTGATTGATTGATTGATTGATTGATTGATTGATTGATTGATTGGTTGTTGATTGATTGATTGATTGGTTGATTCATCGATCGATCAATTAATTGATTGAAAAAAAAAAAAAAAACGGGGGAAGGGGAGAGGAGATGATTAATCGATTTTTTTTTTTATATATACAAATCGATCGATCAATCAATCAATCGATCAATCAATCGATCAATCAATCGATCAATCGATCAATCAATCAATCAATCACTATCCTCAATGAAATATCAAGATCCTATGCATGAGATCTTGAATCTTGATATTTCATTGAGAGGTAGTGATTGATTGATCGATTGATTGCATAGGATCTTGATATTTCATTGAGAGATAGTGATTGATTGATTGATCGATTGATCGAGGAGGAAGCCGAGGAGGAGGCTGTGGCGATAGAGGAAGAGGAGGAGGACGAGTACGAGGAGGAGGAGGACGCCGCGGTGATGGCGCAAAAGGAGGAGGAGGAAGAGGAGGCCGAGGCGATGGAGGACGCGGAGGAGGAGGAGGCGGAGGAGGAGGAGGAGGAGGCCGCGACATGGACAAGGAGGAGGAGAAGGAGAAGGTCGTGGCATGGATGAGGAGGAGGAGGAGGAGAAGGACGCGACATGGATGAGAAGGAGGAGGAGGTTGCGGCGACGGAGGTGGAGGAGGAAGAGGAGGCATAGGTGATGGAGGAGGAGGAGGAGGAGGAAGAAGAAGAAGAGGAGGAGGAGGAGGAAGAAGAAGAGGAGGAGGAGGAGGAGGAGGAGGCCACGGCAATGGAGGAGGACGAGACGATGGAGGACGAGGAGGAGGAAAAAGAAGAGGAGGAGAAGGTTGCGGCAATGGAGGAGGATGAGGCGACGGAGGAAGAGGAGGAGGAAGAAGAAGAAGAGGAGGAGGAAGAAGAAGAAGAGGAGGAGGAGGCCGAGGAGGGGGAGGAGGACGAGGAGGATAAGGAAGAAGAAGAGGAGGAGGCTGCGGTGATGGAGGACGAGGAGGAGAAAGAAGAAGAGGAGGAGGAGGAGGAGGAGGGGGAGGAGGGGGAGGAGGAGGTGGAGGAGGTGGAGGAGGTGGAGGAGGAGGAGGTGAAAGAGTAGGTGGAGGAGGAGGAGGAGGTGGCGGTGGAAGAGGAGGAGGAGGAAGAAGAAGTAGAGGAGGACGAGGAGAAGGAGGAGGAGGTGTTGGAGGAGAAGGATGACGAGGACGTCGATGGGGAGGAAAAGGATGAGGAGGAGGACGAAAAGGAGCAAGAGGTGCAAAGGAAAGAGGAAGGAGAAGATAAGGAGGAGAATATTGAAGTGTGAAAGGGAAAAAATGAGGAAGGGGAGGAGGAGAAGAGGAGAAGAGGAGAAGCAGGCGGAGAAGGAGGAGGAGGAGAAGGAGGAGGAGGAGGAGGAGGAGGTGGCTAATAGGGAAGTCGGCGGCGATGGCGCGTCGGGTTGCGGTGGACGGCATCAGAGTTCGGCAAAAGTAACACCGAACTCCAACGACAGTGCGCTGACCAAGACGTGCTCGTGGGAGGCCGCCCAGACCCCACATTCAAATTTCAAAATGGCCCAATCTGGGCCATCGATCTCACAGATCTGATGGCCCAGATCAGGCCATTTACTTTTTCGAATTCGGAGGCCCTACCGGCCTCCAAAAAATTATCCTGCACAGCCCCCCGCTTCGCTTGTGCCCACAGCCCAGCCCTGCACTGCCCAAGTTCCCTCCCCCCCCCAAATTTTTTTACCACTGGACATGGGACCCCGGGCGGACGGCCGACCGGTTGTCCGATCGAACAGGCCCGGACGGTCAAGGGGGTCCCGGACGTCCAATCAGGTAACGTAGGCAGCAAGTGAATCGAAACACAAAACTTCATCCTAGACAACACATCAGGCAGATGGATCAAAATAAACATAAAATACAAAGAAAAAGAAACGTCCATCATAGGAATTTACGAGCCGAACCTTCCACATGAAAAAACACCTTTCCTACTCACATTGGAAGAACTTATCCCCGTACACACACCATCTATCATCGTGGGAGACTGAAACTCGGTACAAAACCCTAACTTAGATAAAATGTCCCATTCTCAAGACCCCCAACCCCACATCATCATAAAAAACTTGATAGACCCATTCCGCCTCCTACATCCAGAACTTGAAAGATATTCCTGCACTAAAAAAAAAACTCACTAGGACGTACATCCTTCTCAACCATAGACTTCTTCATGTCCTCAAAATCTTTAACAGGTGCTATACAAGACTGCTACATACATGATAACCCTTACCATAAACACCTCGACCATAAAGCAATCTCTTTATCCATTAGATTCTCCAAAGAAGGTTACACAGATGAAAACTTCAATTGTTTCAACAATGCACTCCTCTCCAACCAATCCTTCAAATCCGAGCTCCAAAATATACTAATCTCACAGACACAACTACACCCAAATAACGACCTTTTCTCCAAATTTCCACAAAGAATCAAGATCATTAGCACAAGAATAGCCCAGTCCTCTAGACAACTAGTAGCATAAAGAAAAGAAGGGGGAGAAACATTGAGAAATGGAATAGAAATAGCAGAATACAACCTTATAAAGCACCCAAACTCATAATTTTATGCAGAGTTATTCAACAATGCCAAGGAAGAATTATTAGAATGGACAAAGCTAAAGCTCAAAGGCCTTGAACTAAGGGCTAGAGTAAAAGACTGGGAACTAAACGAAAAAATATTTAAATTCTTTTTTCAAAAAATCAAGATCAACTCCAGAAACTCTAAAATAGAATGCCTAGTAGACGAACACGTAAACCCGTCCACAGAAACAACAAAGCTAGTCAACATAGCAACCATTTTTTACAAAGAACTTTATACTTTCAAAACCCCGACGGGAAGTAACAACGCAACAAATAGAGCAAGAGTCAGATTCTTATCTCACCTAGATCGTTCCCTCTCATCGGAGACAGCCATTAAACTAAAAAAGAAAACATAACATTAGAAGAATTACACACTGCACTCAAAGACCTCAAACCAAACAAAGCACCCGACAGAGATGGTCTCTTTAGATAATTTTAGATGGCACGAAGATGGCAGGATGGCACATTCTCGACCCACTTTTACTCAGGTCCTTCCACAGAGTCTGGAAAGAGGTATCCCTAGGCCTGAATCTCAGCACAGGAGTGGTAACACTGCTATACAAAAAAGGAAACACAGAGAACATAAAGAACTATATACCCATCTCTCTACTGAATGTAGCATACAAAATCCTAGCTAAACAACTGGCCACGAGAATAAACCTAATCACAGGAGGTTGCTTCCATCTAGATCAAACAGGATTTATCCCAGAAAGCCTCATACTGGACAATGTAATGACAGTCTGCGAATCCACCAAGCTTATCAACCAAAAGAAGACCGTAGCGACTATTCTTTTTTTCGATTTCGAAAAAGCATACGGCCAAGTCAACTATGATTTCCTCCAAGTCAGCATGAAAAATATGGGGGTAGGACCAACATTCTGAAAATGGGTGAGAGTCCTCTACAACGACGCCGAAGGGATAGTATAGTTCAACGACTTCCTCTCTAATCCCTACCCAATGTCAAGGTCTGTAAGGCAAGGAGACCTCCTAGCAGGTCACATCTTCCTGTTCGTTATGGAGGCTATTGCCACCATAGAAAGAATAGATAACATCAAAGACGAAAGAGGTAACCCCTTGCACATCCCAACCACTCTCATATTCGTTGACGATCTCACAGTACTCATCAAGGCATCAAACTCCTCCTTCCAGACTGTTACATGCACAGATATGTGATGTTTGGAATAACCGAGGAACTGCAATGTGACGAAAAGGACTGAAATGGACAATGCGGTGAGAGTAGAATCTCGACAGACAATGTGCATTCTCATACATACAAAAGTGCTGAATAGCGCAGGGAAGACTTAGATACAAAGACTGATCTGACAAGGACTGACCTTACACACGTAGTAGCAAGTAGCGAAACAGACTGCTAGAATGTTGATAGCTAGTCCAACCGATGGTTGAACTCAGACCAAACATGCATCGTACCCCTCACCAGGTGTGAAGGAGCCTGGCGCTGCACACAGGAAGAAAGCGCCAGGTCCAGACATGCATAGACGAAGAGGTAAGGATCAGACGAAAGGAGGG